AAAGACAGACATGTACCAATACACGCTATGTCTGTGTGCGTGTGTGTGTGCCCACTACTTTGCTCACTCCAGCATGCGTAGCTTGCGCTGCATGGACAAAAAGTCCTTGAACCAGTGGGTGAAGAATGGAGGCGTACATTTACGCACACACACATGCACGCACTCACAGTCGTGTGTGTTTGTGAAAGCGAGCTGTCAGTGCTGCTCTCACACACCATTCATCACAAGCTACTAATTCTGTTAGACCATTGTCGAGCCTTTCGCACCCCACGTTGCTCTCTGAAAACTCAATCAGAGGCTAATGCCCCCAACCCTCCAAACACACATACACACACACAAGCTCTCACTTTCAGTTTCTTACTTGCTCACACACTCACAGCGACCCTGAGGGGACAGAAGTGGTCTTGGGGGACCCCACCAGTCCAACTCTATAAGCGTTGCTTGAATGTGATAGACAGGAGTTGCATGGACCAAGTTTGTGGTGTTAAGAGTGGCTGCGGTGGGGGAAAAACAGGATCTCCCAATCACTGTGTGACATATAATTATAATCTGTATTCCAAAGTATAGAGCACTTTTTATTCAAAATCAAAATGATGATAATTTAACATTATCTTAATTTACATTGATTACAAGACAATTCTTTCAGCGCTCCACTTCCAAATATTCTCTAAAGTAACAACACATAATCTGACTTGAACGTGATTGATTTGGTTTGAGTTGTGGTAGAATTTGTGCGGTACAAAAGAATAAAGAGGATAGCGCGGGTGCAGGCACTTTGCCACCTGTGATAGTAAATTTGATTAGTTAATCAGGAATCACTTTGCCCAATGTGGCTTTTGTACAGCATAATTGCAGCTCCAGCTATCGCTCCCAAAAAACAAAAAACTTTTGACTGCAGATATTTTAAGGGGCATTTTGAAAGTTATTCTGCTTTGTTTAATGAGAATTAACATAAAGTTTAAGCAACATAAACATAATACCACAGACCAGCAAAGGGTAAACCCCCACCCCTCGAATAACGAAGGAGCCAGTGAGGGAAACCAGGCAACTGAGCATGCCCAGACGTGGGGCAGGGTTCGGCAGAAAGGCCAGACTAAATTTAGCGCCACCTTTTCATTCTCTAATTATGAGATTAATACATCCTGTCACATATGTCACAATACTACCCTATGATTTATTATCCAGTCGACCAGATGGAGAGATTGGGCAAGAGAAGGACGGAGGAGAGGGAGATTGTCTGAAAGCAGTTAATCAGCATGCATGTCTGAGTGGGCCTCTACTGTGGGGTATGCGGCCAGTGTGTTTCTGTGTTCATAAAGAGGGCTGTATGAGTAAACCCAAGATTTATTGATGGAAAAAAATGTTGAAGTTGAATTAGATTCTGCCTGTGTCCTCAACAGGCCGCTATTTAACGAGAAGGAAATACAGAGGCATATGGACCCCCCCCTACACACAAGCATGTGTAGAGCACAGGACTATGGATTGTGGCCATAAGGTCTGCCCAGGGCTTCAGGTTTAAATCAATGTCAAAGCCTGATCTTATTTCATCTAATGCATGTTTTAATCATTCTCTCCCCTGATCAATGCAGTTTGGATGCGGCCATCAGGCACTGCTGTGGGAATTTACAAGAGCTCCTATTCTCCTGCCTGTGTTTCCAGACGGATGTTTTACGAGGCAGTGCACAGTGTGACAGTAAATCTCTTCCTCCACTTTGCCAAAATGAAATCTCTCAATGCTGCTCTCTATGCCCATATTTGTTTGTCTCACTGTATTGCTTGTGCAAACGAAACTTGTATTGGCTCTGCCAAGTCAACATTCAAGTCTCTTTATTTTAATAGTGTCTGGAAGGGGCAATAAAAGCGAAGTGTCTTTATTCAATACTCGACAATAAAGCTGGATGTAGGGAAACTTTGAAATCCCTGAGTTGCATTTAAGAAACTAATTTAAAAGGCTTTACATACTTGTCGGTAATTGGAATTTAGCAGTAAATTAAAAAAACAAACAGAAAAATAATTTGAGAGAGTTTTTGTCTAGAAACTGATTTAAAAGGTGCCAGAGGTCTGCAGAGGAAACTACAACACAAGTGAACCACATTCCTGAAAACACCGCTGCGTTGTTAAGCAGTTGAAAGTTGTTTTCTGGGTGTTTTGTTCAATGCTTTTACTGGCTCTGTATGTCAGTCTGTGTGTTTGCACGCATGTCTATGTGCATATCAGGACAGGATAATAATTATAAATAAAAGAGTTATTTTTTTAATCAACTTTCAGTGGAATGATATTGTTATTATGATTTCAATAAACTCAGTTGTCTAAATGAATAATTCAAACCAGCTTGTAAAAAGCAGCATGTAAAAGAAACTGAAAATAACTGCTAAAGATAATATTTATATATATATATATATATATATATATATATATATATATATATATAATTATTATTTTTTTTACATTGATTTCAGCCATGTTACCCAGCCCCAGTGCATATGTGTTTGTTAAAATGTAAAAATGTACAATTTTTGATTTTATTGCAAAATGCTTTGGCAGTAAACATACTGTACACGCCAATAAAGCACATTGAACTGAACTGAAATAAAAAGCCTAATCCAACAGAAGAAATGTATATTCCTCAGTGTGTTTGTTGTTTCTCTTTCCAACACATGCACACTTATTCACAGATACACACTTACATATACTGTATGTGCCTGGCCTTTGTGTGTGTGTGTGTGTGTGTGTGTGTGTGTGTGTAGGAGTTTTACTTACAAAGTTCTCTATACCAGTTATGTGAGTGTTAGTTGTTTACATTAGCCGCATACTGTATGTGGTGCTCATTGTGTTAAGACCAGCAAAGGCACCAGGCACTGTGACTGACGACTGACATCTATCCAAAGGGTCACACTCTTTAATTTATCGACTCTTTCTTTTTGTTTGTTTGTTTTTCAGTGATGGGAAGTTTGTCTTCCTAAGTCATTACCATTAACAAACATTGAGTAATGAAGATAAAATATATGAGGCAAAAAAAAAGTTGTGTATGTATCCATCAATATTTCTGCAGCCAGTTGCCCTGCTGGCACAAAAACTAGCACACACTCTCACACAAACACAAATTTCCCAGAGGTTTATGATATCTGTCAACATTTCTCAAGGCTTTCTATTTTCGTAGTGGAATCTGCAATAGGGCACACGTGCACATTCATCCACATGTACGCTCCTGCCCTGAAGGGGAACCCTAGACCCTTAAACTGACACCTGTCAGTCACACTGGCAAGCTGTACTGACGGGAGCAGAACGAGGGATGGTGAGAGGTGCAGCATGAGCGAAGAGAAAACAGAAGATGAAGCTTGAAAGATGAAGAAGAAAGGTGGGAGAGGAGGGAGATGAAGAGGAGGAGGAGAAGCAAGTGGAGGTGAGACTTCTGAAGCTTGTTAGAGACGCAGCGAGATGAGAGTGGTGCAGCGTGCTGTTTGGTGTTTTAGCACGTCACCGTCTTTTTGATTTGTTAGCATGTGTTTATGATGTTGTTTCTCTGTCTGCCTCTGTCAATCTCTATTATTAGACCCTCAGATCCTCCTCCTGCTGTTTTGACACTCCCGTTGCTCCTGTTTCACACTTCTATACACACACGCAGGGTTTGGGCTCATGCACGTTCTCACGCCCGTAGACAGACAAAATAGCATATAGAACGACAATGACAGACACAGTAACATACACATACACACTTGCAAATTCAGCACCCACACTGCTCGGGGCACACGTGTCGGCTAGGTCTGATGGGAGTGAAATTTTTCCTCTGGGTGCTTTGAGGTGTGACGTGCATTCAGTATCAGATGTTCCGTTTGGAGGGAGATGCAGGAGTGAAGGGTGAGATTTCCTCATTCAGAGCAACTAAGTAACTAACGAATTGACTTGAGCAGACACACGCACACACCTGGTCCTTTTATCAGGCTGCCGCACTGCCTCTGATCTCTTCATGCTGGCAGACACAGCAATGCAGACGCCTGATCTCAATCTCTGGTCTGTGAATCCATGAGACGAGCCTAAAGGCATGAGCCGGTAGTTCCCCTGAATGCTTCTATAGAAGCCAAACTTTTGAAGTCTTGCATTTAATTGAACTGACTTTGATTTGACATGCTCTGCATAATCATCAACATGAATTTCTCCAACAAACAAGTGAATGTTTAGACCCTGTAGGAGCACAAAAATGCCCAAGAAAAACAAGTTTCTTTTTGGAAACTGAAAAAAAAAAAAAAAACTTTTCATCTTCTCAACAATCAACACTCAGTGACATCACACTGCAGGCAAATGATTATCACAATATAGTGCTGGATTAAGAAGCTAATTTTACAGGGTCTGGAAATGCCAGCGAGAGAGTGCTCAATAGCATTCTGGCCCTGAGACAGAGTGAGAGCAGCGTCTGCGGCTGATATCTGCGGCTGCAAGATTAGCTTGGTAATTAACCACAAAGCAATTACCGGGTGACGGGATGAGAGGCACATCTCAAGGAAGGTGTTTCTTGATGTGTTTAATAGGTGTTGAGTAGTTTGATCAGTCAACAGAAGTTGTCGGTGATTCTGAGGCCCGCAGTCTAACAGAGGTTGATCCACAGCTGATACTTGCGACTACCGAGAATTCAATTAATTAGACTGTTGCTTTTCCTTCCATCCACTTTTCATTAACCTCCATTGACACCTCAGCAAAGCTTATGCACAGGTTTACGACTGCGTCAGGATTAACAAGGAAATGGGAAGTCGGCAATAAACAAAGTTGCCAAAGGATGTAGATTCCCTCTGGGAACATCACACTCTCACACTCGTGTGGAGATGCAAAGGATGGAATTGGAAAAAAAAGTAAAGAAAAGCTTCTCTCTGACTTCTCTCTGACTTTAAAATGTTCCAGTGTTGCCGTTTACAAAAAATCTGATGATCTTTTTTGAAAGACTGACAGACCAGTAGTGAAATCTCAGCAGATAAGTGGTATAAGAGGGTAGAGTTAGAAGGCTTTGGCTAAGTGCTATTGATGAGAATAAGGATGGCTCTCTGGGGGGTGGGGGGTTCCAACCACTGTTCTTCAGATCAGAAACAGACTCAATCAATAAATCGAACTCACAAGCAATTCATATGATGGCTGTCTGTTTGAGAGGTTATTTTAACAATATCGACAAAAAGATATACTTTCTCACTCATGATACCATATTGACCATGGTCCGTGGTCCTACCTGACTCGTCGTCAGACTTGTTCTCATTCTCTGAGTCGGTGAGGGTGAGGGCCGAGTTCTCGTGACTGGACACACCTGAGCTGCGGCGAGACTTCACCCTTCCTCGTCCGGCCCACAACTGGATGGCTCGCTCTGGAGACAGCGGCCCCTCGGGGTCTGAGTCGGCATCAGAGCCAGCGCTGAGGGAGTACCCCCTCTGGAGGAGGCCCAGGTCGGGACAGTAGGGAACGGCAGCAGGGTGCGGAGGGGAAGTTGGCTCACAAACTCCCAGCTCGGCCAGGGTGAAGTTACCCCCTGCGAGAGAGAGGGTGGAGTTACCAAGTTGGGGTCTAGTACAAAGAGAAGCAGTAAATGGAGACACTCAGTTAAACAAATGCTCGCACAAGCAAACGCACACGCATATCTAGCAAACAAACCCACAATCACACGCAGAGAAGCACGCTAATTATGAAACTATGGAGGCGGAGGCTGAAAATTGGGTTTTGTTGTGGCAGGCAGGAGGGGGAGAGATGACGCAGCATGAATCAGGCACAAACTACAAACTAGCTGCTGGAAGGAATAAGTACTGGCCTGCAGGCCTGTTAAGGCTGGCTTAGAAGGCCTGCCTCCCTCGCTTTACTGCTGCGCATTGGCATTCATGAGGTGTTGATGTGAGATCAAAGAGCTGTTCACTTGAGGCCTCTCAGACTGTAGTGGAGCTCCTTTGCTGCCTTCTGGGTTTGATCACCTCCCCACCTAGTTGTCATCACACGCTGGACCCCAGGCTCACTGAACATACTGCAGTCTGCTGCAGTACCGGCCCTGCTGCCTAACCCTCTCCCCCTCAAGACAAACCGACTCGTCACGTCCAAAATAAATATATAAAATTATCCAAATTAAAGCACATCAAAGGAGATCAATAAACAGTGCTGCAGCCCAATTAAATCCAAGCTGAGGAAAAAGCAATTAAGGAAAAAGGCATGCTCAACCAATTTATTCTCTATACTAATTAAAAGAGTATTGTGGATGCAATCGCTCACCATCAGCTGTTGGGGTAAAGGGATCGGGGGAAAAACAGTTGTGATTCACTTCATTAGCAGTTTGTGAGGGAAGGGAAAGGAAGAGGCGAATGAGGAGAGGTTTGCATTGTGGTGGCACACTGTATGAATCAGCGCGCTGGGAATCACACAGCTGTGTGACTGGGTTAACTGTGACTCATCAGGCGTACAGACGCAATCAGAGAGAGATAGGAATTAAACAGATGAAAATCGTCTGCTGGATCTTTACAGCTCCTCTTCACAGCCTCGCCAAAACTCGAGAGTTGCGCTGAAAATAATAAAGGGAGGAAGGGCCTGAAAAAAAACTTAGCCAGGGAAGTGGTGAAAGGCTCTTTACTTCTACTCAGACAAACAGATGGACTGGACTACAGAGCAGAGGAAAGCGAATAACTCCACAGGTGGTATCAGCTTCTAGGCTACAGCTTGCCAAGCATCCAACCAACTACAAAGGCACCCAATCATTGCAAGACATCAGGGAATATTACCACTCCTTGTCTTCTTGTCTTCTCTGTCTTTTCCACCCACTTATCATAAAGGATGACAAAAGAAACCGTATTTGTGACACTAGGGACTTACAATCTATTGGTAATTTACACTATAGTGCTACTGTATATGCACAGGGATCTAACTCTAGTCGCTGAACCCATACCTGAGATGAAGTATCGTAGGAGGACGGGAGAGAACTCCAGGAGGCCTGGGAGAGTAGAGCACATGGGTTCTTAAACATCAGTCAGCAAATCATCCTGAACTGAACTGCTCGCTAGAAAGTGTCTATTCCACAATCACAGTTAGGATTAGTCTTTATGCAAATCATCCCATCCAACTACAATGACAATAATTGGGCCACAAACACATCTTCTAGTCTAAACAAACGCTACGTGGAAGCAGTTTCACAACATGAAAGTCACTGTGTGTGTATCTGTGTGTGCATGTATGCGTGTGTGCTTGCCACACAAATCTAATGTCACATCCCAGAGGCCACCATTCTGTACAATTAACATCCCATAACCAGTGATTACACATGCAAAATCCAATCACTCCTCATCACCATCAGCGGTGGACACAGCCCAATGCCGTAGCAATCTACATGTCCTCAAAGAAAGATGGATTGGTGCGACGGGTTGAAGCAGACATGAAAATCCATCACATTTATCCCACAAATAGAAAACCAATCGCATGTTTGTTACATGGTATTATGACAGATGTGGGGGAAAATGTGGTGCTGCATTCTAATCAGATCAATGCATTTCTCTTGTCACTGTCACTGTTGCACTTACAATGCACATTACAGTGTTCTTTGAGCCTTGAGCAGCTTCGGCAGCTGCCTTGGGTTGCGAGACATCTGCGTCTGCTCATTGTTTATATGCCGGCATGTACACTTGTCTGTCTGCTGATCTGTGCATTTAACATGAATGTGTTGAATATCAGAATTAGACTGCTATAGGGCAAAAGCAGCATGACCTACAATGCTATCCTGAATGGTTTTCACTAAAAGAGGGGAAAAGAGTGAAGAGCAGTGTGGAGGGAAGGGAGAGAAACACATTGATTTGAAAAGAAACCCATGCGATTATGTGTCTGTATGTGAGAAAGCAAAAGATAAAAAGAGAATCCAGGGTTATTAAGTTCAGTGCGTGGAAATAGAATATAAGATGTAGAAGAAGGGCCTAACTCAATATATGCTGAATCAAATTCAAATGAAAATACATTAAGATTAATAGGAATAAATAGAAACACAAAAACAGGCACACCATGACCTAGCATTAACTGAAAAAGAGGTTAACAATGTGTATGTATGTGTGCGCTGACATCTGCATTAGGCTTTTCATTAATAAAGCAAAGGGCAAAACGGAAGGAAGGGAGAGACACAAAGACTGTAAAACAGTGTGAAATGTGTGCAAGTATGTGTGAAAAACAAAGAGAGAATAGGGGGTTACTGAGTCACTAGGTGACACAGTCTATATGATAGAATGCAAGCCTGTTTTCAGGGTGCATTAAAAAGGAATATGAGACGGTACAAGATAGGACTCAATCAGTATCAATCAAACTGAAATTGAAATCAAATGGAAATTGAACTATATTAAGTGAAACAGGAATAACAAGAAAAAGCAGGACTCACAACTTGTTTCTTTGCTTAGGAGGGACTTAACTTTCCTGCACCTGAGACACATCACCATTTGGGGTATTCATGCACTGCACATTGTGCCTCCCAAAAAAATAAATGACACAGGGGGAAAAGAAGCATCTTGTTGGATCTCAAATACAATAGTGTGAGTGGGAATGGCATTTGCAGTGATCCATTAAACCGCGTGTACTACCCTTGATAAAACTCCTTATGGATGTGTGTGGGAGCGAATGTGTGCAATGTGCGGTGTGTGTGTGTGTGTATGAGTGTTTGTGAGTAGACAGCTTAGTGGGATAGAGGGGCCTATCATTAAAAAATCATTTGTGCTTGTTAGCAGTTTGACAGGCAAAGTATAGGCAGCAGGACTCTGCATTATGCTGGTTGACTTTCCCTCACCCCACCGTGTAATTCTGGAAAGGATGTAAAACAGTGGGCTTCAGTGCCTGCAATTATGTTGCTTTTCCCAGATCCAATAGTTTGCAGTGCAGGCCACCCTCGGACAAGCCATTTTGAGCTTTGGAGGGAGCGCCAGTTCAGAACAAGTTCTGATTTGCCCTAAAGTGCTGAACTAGTGAACTGATTTGCTCCTGGGTGGAGGATGCGTCAAAATCAGGAAGCAAATGCAACTGTGCACGGTAGGTTCCCCAACAATCCCCTGGAATAGCTGAAAGTACTGTTAATAACAGTAAAAGCCTTATTTTCTTTGTCACAGCTAAGAAAATGCTAGAATTTGTGGCTAATAACAGCCAAAATGTGTCATTGCCTAATATTTTCCATTTTCATTTGCATCCAATTCAAAATTCATCTGCACAGCACTTTAGTATCCTGAAAAAAGGATGTTCTCCTTTGTGTTTTCTTTTCTGTGAATTTTGAAGCAATAAAATATATATATCTTCTTTAATAACAGAGAGCTTAAGTGAAGAAATGTTTCAATAGAAACAGCAGGAAGAATGAGAGGCAAGGAAATGACAAAGTAGAGACAATACAGTAGTTAGGACCCAACTATCAGGGGTCACATATTTCTGCTCTCCTGGATCAAATCCCACCTGAAGCTGCTCTCCTGTGTCTCCCATATTCTGTCACGCTGTCCCTCCTGCTAGTCGCTCACAACAAGACAAAATGCATTTTAAAAAATCATTGAGCTGCTCAGTGTGCTATTAAAAAGTAAAGGACAGCTACAGAGAGCTGGATTGTGAAACCAAAGATGGGGAATATCACAGTTCTTTTAATTAGTTACACACATTTATCTGTGTTGACTTCACTATTTCTAAAAACATTCTACGGTCTGTTATTTCTGAAAAACAGGCCATTGCTATGGATGCAATTAGACATATAGAAATATGATGTAGACTCTGGAGTCTAATCATAGCAGAAACAAATAAAAATCAGAATTAGTTTGGAGTAATGGAAAGCTTTTTTTTTGCCACAGATATGATACTTCTGGTAATGCTACTCGTTATTAGTGTTATTAATATTATTATGCATCTCTCTCAATTGTCTATTTACACTATTAGATTTTTATGTATTTCATTCAAATTTGTTGTCTTACCTTACGTTGCTGTGCTGCTGTAACATATGAATTTAATTTAATGCATTACTAGTAAAATTTCGGTAGTTTCGATCCTGTTACAATGTCAGTAACACATTACAACACACTTTAACCTGAAAATAAGTCTTTTTTTAAATAATTCACTGACACTGCAACACGTTTCGGCAACAGAAAAAAAATCTGGATCAATCTGGATCATGGATCATGCGAAAATAGAATTCTATATGTGTTTTCTTTGATGATTTACTTTCATGATTAGAGAGGCTGCTGTCAATGCATCCTGACCGGTCCTGCCGGAGTGTCGGGAGATTCAAATACTCAATGAAGTTATGCTGCTGTACTTTGTGCGTAAAAGCACACAGTGTCTTTCTTAATGGGGAGACGATTCATCCTATTTCACCCATCCACAACAGACCCGCTATTAATCACAAATGTTCATTTTTATGACAAATACCCACCTAATCCGCCGATATAACTGCGATCTGCGCTTCACTAGAACCCACCTATCTTACTGTCTGAATAATGCGCTCATTAAATAGCAGTGAAAGTAACTCAAAAGTAATGCAAAAGTAGTCTAAAGCATTAC